CATGCTTTACTTCTTTCTCACTCAGTTTCTAACCTTGCTCTCTTTACTGGTTCTTTCCCACCTACCTACAAATCAATCTGAACTTGAAAAGCCATTTTAACAAATAAGTCCTTGACGTCAGGACCCATTCTGATCATTACTATTTTCCCTTTTGCCTTTGGGGAAGGATGTGGTCTATTCTCTCTATTTCAATATCTGCAACTTCTTGTAAAATATTTTCCCACCACAGTGCCCCAGCGGAAGGTGTCATCTGAAAGCACAAGTTCTTTCTCAGTAGCAACAATTTCCTTTCGTCAGCCCTCTCATCCTGCGTTTCTGAGCTGCACTTGCTCCCGGGGAGCCACGCCTTCTGCATTAAAGCCAAGATTCCCTTTCCGTAGCTGCAGTTGCCCCACTGGAAGTTTCCACCACGGCTTCTTTTCCTTCTCTCATTTTGTCTGCAGATGTTTCCCAAACTCAGTCCCTTTCTCTAACCCTCTCCCTCTTTTTATTTTTCCTGCTTGGAGAACGTTTCTGAGTCTCCTCTAGGATGTCCAGATGAGCCATCCCTGGAGACTTTCACCTGACTTAAAGACTCATACTTCCATCTGCTGATGGAATACGGGAAATTTGGCATGTCAAAAATGAAAGAAATTCATTTCTCTCGTAATCCAGCTTCTCTCAAAGTCACCTCAACTTGTAGAACAAAATTTGCTTCTTCCTATAGATTATATCCTTAGAATTCTATGAATTTTCAGCCTTTTACCCAAATACCCACTCTTTTATTTGCGACAACAAAAATAATATCACTAGTGAGGCTAGGACTTACATATGCAATATCCTGAATACATTCCATCATCTCCATTTCTGCTACTCCTGCCCTAATTAGGACTTATTGTAATTAAATTGCTAATACAGTTTCCTCACTTTCTCCAATCTGTCTTTTGCACCACTCACTCCCAGTTCACGTACTGCCAAGTAAACCCCTGAGGCTGGCCATGATCTTAAGATGCCTACAGGAATGTATGTGGACTACTGTAGGACCAAAAATGGCCATGTGTTTCAGATTTATAATCTATAAGCAGAATCCACGGTATGTTTCTCTTATGGATCATGAACCACTGACTGTAAAATCAAATATTACCAGGCTTAAAGTCTTCTAGCTCCTCCATACTGGTCAGGAGAAATTTGGCTTAGGCTATAGTAGGAAGATATCCCAAAATTTTAGTGCTTTCAAGCAAATATCAGAATTTTAGAGAACGTTTTGCTGCCATGAGCTTGATAATTGCTCAGTACTTACAAATTCTGCCAATGAAGTCAGAGAAAATAGTAAAAAATGTGTCGTTTGGTTATTTCCTAATGAAATGTGTCAACACCTAGAAGATCTAAATATTTAGCAAATAAATACTTTCCAAATGATCAAGGAATGATGTTATAAAACTATGCATGGTTAGAAGATTTATTCAAACTGCAAAGCAGACCAGTGGATTTTAATGAAGCAGGGTGCAACGAGCTCATAATGTAATTTCAGACTCTTCGCTGCAAATACATCTCAATAAACTACTACTTGTCGAGTTAAAAGGAGAATATCCATAACTCTCCCCCAAAAGGTACTAAAATACTCCTCCTTTTTCTAACTGCATATCTATGTGAGGCCAGATTTTCTTGTCACTTCAACCAAAAGAGCAAACCACAACAAAATCGATATAGAAGCAGACCTAAAAATTCAACATCTTCTATTAAACCCAACATTAAAGAAATTCTAAACAATGCCCCTTTTCTCATTACATTTTGAGGAGGTTGGAAAATATTGTTATCTTTCATAAAGCACATTATTATTTTAACATATATTAGTTTACTATGTATTAGTTAATTTTTAATTAACTGCAAAATAATTGTTTTAACTTTTCTGTTTTATCACTAATTCAACAAATCTCAGTAGGCATAACATATAAATAAAACATCATGATATTCTCCATAACTCTTAATAGTGTTAAATAAATCTGTCACTAAACTATTTGAGTGGGCCAGTGATTTAGCTCAGTGGTTCAGTGGCCTGCCTCGCAAGCCCAAGGACCTGAGTTTGATCCCTGGTACCACAAAAATTTTTTAAAAATTAAAAAAAATAAAATAAAATATTTGAGAGTTATTTGCAGAAGTCCCAATTATGTTTTCTGCATTCCTTCTTGTCCTTGAACACAAAGGTTTTCTTTTGCTGTCTGAGTAAATGTTTTCTTAATCATATATTGAAAGATTATTTATTTTCTTATTTAGCTTTGTTTGTTTGTTTCATTGAGATCCAGTCATTTTATTGATCCCTATACTACTTTCAACAGATTTCAAATTCTAAGTTTTAGGTATATAACGACATCACTGAAGAACAGTGACAACTGACTATACTTCCTGTGATAATGACTCATGACTTTTTATTTGTGTTATTGGTTCCTACTCCTGGAATAAAAGTAAGTATAGTAACAATCATTTTTATCTTAGTGGATATATCTTCAATCTTTCTCCACAAGATAAAATCATGGAAATGTTTCATTGTATTAACACTATCTAACCCTAGTTTGAAAAGAGTTTTATCAGGAGATGTTAAATTTAATCAAAATCTCTTTGGAACAATGCCCTCCCCCCATGCAAAGTTATCCATGTCTTAATACACAAAACCTGTGAACATGTTGCCTCACATGTCAAAGGGTATTTTGAAGATGTGATAAAATTAAGGACACTGATATGGAAAAATTGCCCTGCGCTCAGTGTAATCACGAGTGCCCTTATAGAAAGGAAGCAGGAAAGCCAGATGCCTATAGAAGACATACTGGGAGGAAGAGGGATTGGAAGGTTAAGAGGAAGGGGTCACATGCCAAGGAATGCAGCTGATCTCTGCAAGCTCAAAAGCATAAAACAGATTCTCTCCTAGAGTTTCCAGAAGTAATGCTCTCCTGGCATCATGTTGATTTTGAGAACCTTGACTCCCAGATAATAAATTTGTGTTATCTAAAGCCATTGAGTTCGTGATAATTGGTTAGAGCAGCAATAGGTATTAATATATTATAGATCATTCATACTGGATCATATTACTTTTATTCTTCAATCTATTACATAATATTCAAAAGAATATATCAACTACTACCACTAATGAATTATTTGTTTAATTAGTTTGGGTTATAGGCTTTATTATTTAACATATTTCTATTTTAATTTTCACAAATTTATTTAATACATTTGCATCTACACATTACAATAGTGAGATTTATCTATAGTTTTGATAAAGGTGCTAAATTTGTCATGTTTTTCCTCTAGAATAATAAAGTTCTTGAGAAGCACTCTTCAATCAGCTCATGTGCTATGGGAATTTTTAATCCTTGCAACTTGGAAAACACAAAAGCTAAAATTATGTCTCAATTTTTTTAAATTGTTATAAATCTACTTAATTCTTCTCTTCTTTTGGGGGCTGATTTTGATAATATATGCCTTGTCAGTAATTTATCTATTTTGTTGAAATCTTAAAATTATTAGCAAAGAGTGGTTTGTAAAAAAATCTCTTAAATATTTAAATTCTCCTATCTACTAAGGCATCCACTTTATAAATTATAAATCTCTACATTTAGTTTTCCCTTTCTTTTGTTCTTAATTGAATATGTGAGTTTTTCTCTTGATTATTATCTTGCCTCCTTTCTAGTTGTAGTTTTAACTAAATCAAGCTTTTCCTGAGTTTCTGTTTTCTTGTTTACTTTCAAGAATTTTTGATTATTAAACTCCTGATTTTCATCTTTTTTGTTAGGTAAACAATGAACTCCAGGCTATTAACTTGCCTTCCAACCATGACTTTGGAAACATCATGGAGATACTAATTTAAAAAGTTCTTTTCAGCCCTCTAAATATTTATGATTAAATTCTATAATATTACTTCAATCCAAGAGCTATTTTGAAAAATGCTTCTTTTGTTATTAATATTCAATTAGCATAAACTTTATCTGCTTAGACTTGTGCAATTAAGTATTAATTTTATTGCAGTGTCATTACAGAATATAACTTACAGTTTCTGCTCTTGCTATTAAGATTTTCAGGGTATGTTTCTGTTGTATGATTGCTTTTTGAAAATGTGTAAGGGATTTCAAAAGTAGATACATTTATAAAATATGTTGCTTTTACACAAAAATAAATTTTATAAAGATTTTAGTAGAGATATATATATATATATATATAAGCCATCTATATTATATTTGAATAGGAATACTGAGATACATATAATTTTGTTCTACTTGTAGTCTTTCAAATTCTTTTAGGCCAAATTTATTTTTTAGGTTTTCAAGAACAGTGTGCGATATAGTACCCTATTACAATTGAATTTCTGTTAGTTTCTCCATGTATAGTGTAACAGTTTTACCTTTTTAGTTGTATGTGCCATGAATACTATAACTATATTGTAGATATTAATGTTTATTAATATAAAAGTATCACCACTATACATGCTCCTTCTGAAATTCTACTTTATATTAAAATTGTATTGCTTCTTCCATTTTTTTCATTTCTATTTTATTTTCCTTGGGAGAATAGGAATTTGATATATCTTTATCTATAATTTTATACTTAATATTCTCTTTCATGTCGTTTTTAGATGTGGTCCAAAAGAAGTACTTCTTCAATAGTAATCTACTGCCAGCCTAAATGTTGTCCTTTGTAAGTAACATAGTTTCCTTGCTAATATTCTGAAATTTTTGGTCTATATTTAGAATACAATAATTTCACTAGTATACTCTTAGTGAAGTTAATAGCATCTAGCACATGACGAGTATTTCTATCTTATTAAAAGTCAGATCTCAGTTTTGCTGATGTATCTTTCTGTGTTATATCTTTGGTTATTATTTCTGTTCATCTAGTCTTATCTTTTTATATCCAGATTGGATAATATAACTTTGAAGTTAATAAAAAAAAAGTATTTGGCTGGGCAGGAGGGTGCGAGGAGGCAGGGGAAGGGGCCTGCACTCGCTCTCGGTCTGGCTCTCACCAAACAGGTGGCGGCCGGTGCGGGAAGGCGGATTCACAACACCGGTGTATCCATTTAATACAAGAAAATGGAAACAGCAGCCAGAAGAAACCTTCCCCAACAGTGAAACCAATGGTGAATTTGGTAAACGTCTGCCAAAGATATGGAAGAGGAGCAAGCATTTAAAAGATCTAGAAACACCGATGAGATGGTTGAAATACGAATTCTGCTTCAGAGCAAGAATGCTGGAGCAGCGATTGGAAAAGGAGGCAAGAATATTGAGGTTCCCCGCATAGACTACAGTGCCAGTGTTTCAGTCCCAGACAGCAGTGGCCCCGAGCACATATCGAGTATCAGTGCTGATACTGAAAAAATTGGAGAAATTCTGAAGAAAATCATCCCTACCTCGAAAGAGTACCAACGTTATAAAGGAAGTGACTTTGACTGTTAATTCACCAAAGTCTGGCAGGAGGAATAATTGGGGTCAAAGGTGATAAAATCAAAGAATTTCGACAGAACACTCAGACAGCAATCAAGCTCTTCCAAGCATGCTGTCCTCATTCCACGGACAGAGTTGTTCTTATTGGCGGAAAGCCTGATAGGCTTATAGAGTGCATGAAGATCGTCCTTGACCTTATATCCGAGTCTCCCATCAGAGGACGTGCGCAACCTTATGATCATAATTTTTACGATGAAACTTATGTTTATGGTGGTTTTACAATGATGTTTGATGACCGCCGCGGATGGCCTGTAGGACTTCCCATGCGGGCAAGAGGTGGTTTTGACAGAATGCCTCCTGGTCGTGGTGGGCATCCCATGCCACCCTCTAGAAGAGATTATGAAGACATGAGCCCTCGTCGAGGACCCCACCCGCTTCTCCTGGTCGAGGAGGCGGGGAGGGGGGTAGCAGAGCTCGGAATCTTCCTCTACCACCATCACCACCACCACCTAGAGGAGGAGATCTAATGGCCTGTGACAGAGAGGAAGACCTGGAGGTCGCTATGACGGCATGGCTGGTTTCAGTGCTGGTCAAGCTTGGGATTCTGCCATAGATACATGGAGCCCATCAGAATGGCAGATGGCGTATGAACCACACAGTGGCTCTGGACATGATTATTCCTATGCAGGGGTTTGTGGCTCCTATGGTAATCTTGGTGGACCTATTATTACTACACAAATAACTATTCCCAAAGATTTGGCTGGATCTATTATTGGCAAAGGTGGTCAGCGGATTAAACAAATCCCTCATGAATCAGGAGCTTCTATCAAAATTGGTGAGCCTGTAGCAGGATCCGAAGATCGGATCATTACCATTACAGGAACACAGGACCAGATACAGGATGCACAGTATTTGCTGCAGAACAGTGTGAAGCAGTATTCTGGAAAGTTTTTCTAAGATGAGTGAAGAACTGAAGGAGTCCTGCATCTTTTTTTTTTTTTTTTTCTGCTTCTGTTTTAAAAGCTAACATTCCTCTGCTTCATAGGTATTCTGCATTTGAGGTATAGTGAAATCTTTGCTGTTCACCAGATGTAATGTTCTAGTCCCTTACAAATAGGGTTGTGGGGAGGGCATGCAAAGACTAATGTTGAAATTTTAAAAAATAGCAGAGTGAGTGGATTTTATTTTTGTTCATCGTTGGTGGTTTAAAAAAATTCCCCCCGCGTAATTATTGTGAACACCTTGCTTTGTGTGGTCACTGTAAACATTTGGGGGCGGGGCAAGGAGGAGAGTAACAGTCATCCACGTGGCCCTGGCATCTGTTCAGAGCAGTGTGCAGAATGGAATGCTCTTTTGTAAGAAACGTTTTATGATTTTTAAAATAAATTTAGTGAATTTAACAAAAAATATTTCATTACTTTCAACTAGTTAGACATTTCTTAAAATACTGTTCTATCGTCTTTTTTCTTCTGTTTTGTTGCATTTTTCTTTCTGCAAACCTACTGCGACCTGCTTCTTTTGAAGTCATTAATACAATGTTCTGTCTTGATAGCTACATAATACTCTATCACAATTGTGTTTTATGTTCACAATTGCCTGTTAGAGTCTAATAAATGAATCTTTAGAAATCTTCTTGGAAACAGAAATCAAGAATGTTATCATTTTCCCCATGTTTCTGATCATAGTTGTACTAGGGAGAGTGTGTCCTCCACCCTCTAAAGGCATTGCGTGTTTCTGACCTCAAGTCACTGCCCCATTGCATCTCTAAACTCAGATAGTAATCAGGTCAGTACAAACCCCTGAAGGAGGAAGCTCCAGTGTTGTGGTCCCACCACCGTGTGTCCGCCTTCCCACAACCTGACTCCTTTCTCACAAATCTGAAAAATGAAAAAGAATATTCCAAGCAGGACATGAGAACAGTAGTAACACAAGGCCAAGATCATACCATGCTCAATAGGGCAGAGATCATACTTCCGCAAGATGTGAGTCCAAGTACCTTTTTTTTCTCCTACCTGGTGTTTTTAAAAAATGATGGAAAATGTACTTTTAAAACTTACTACAGTGCAACATCACTGAAAAATGAGGAGTGTCATTGGTAGACAGTCATTGATAGATTGAAATTTCTCAAGAATTATTGAAAGGTAGAGCACATAGGCAAGGAAGAAAGTAATCCTGGGAGTCCTCTGAGCTGAGGAAAAGTACCAGGGAAATCATTTTGTTGATTGTGTGTGACACTGAACAGTAGGAGGCAGGAAGAGGAAGACTTTATTCGGATGCTACCAGTGATCTAACGAATACAGCAGCAAAGTCTAAACAGACAGAACTTTGGCATAGATAGTTAGCAAAGCCCAAGTAGAATGGGTATCTACTATTTCTAGAAAAGGTGCCTACACTTTTTACCCAACCACGCTGGATAGGCTTCTCCCCTGGAACAACTAGAGACATTCCATAGCTTGGGAGAGAGACACTCAAGCACAAAGATGAGCCGAAAGTAGGTCATCACCAAATCCTTACATAAGCCATCACTGGGACAAAGACAACTAAATAAATAATCAGCAGCTAAGTAAGGGTATCCAGAGCAGATAAATTATAAATTTTAAATATATATATTTGGTATATTTAGAAACCCTCAAAAGAACACCACACACACACACACACACACACACACACACACACACACACACACACGTAGAACAGCTAACTCTTAGAAATTTTAAACATGATTAACAAAATTGTTTTAAATTGTTATTTTAAAGCTAATGTAATGGAAACATAACTAAAGAATGAATTCAAAATCTGGAAGAGCCACCTAAAGTATACTTCCAAAATGTGCTACAAATTGACAAAGCAGCAGTAACATTGAACAAAATGTCTAAAACATACAGGGAACAGCAATATAAATGTCAATATCACACTGTATTTACAGAAAGAGAAACACAAAGAAGGAGAAGAAATAATTAGGAAAACTACAGAAAACAAAATTCTCCATGTTAAAAAAACCATGTTCTTGGCCTACCTAGTAAGGATCCGTGGGATTAAATGGAAAAGTATATACTTCAAATAAATCATTGTAGAGTATCAGAACCCCTCCAAAAAAGGGGAAAATTCTCAAGTTTCCATAAAGAAATAAACAGCTGATCTACCAAGGAATGAGAGTCATTGTATTTATGTCAGATTTCTTACAACAGCAACTTATGCTGGGATACAGTAGAGCAATGCTTTCATACACGAACAACATTTCTTTAAAGCCCAAGTTCTTGACCTAAAAGAATTGGAATCAGTTACAAGCGAAAAATACTGACAGGTTCACCAAAGTAGCCTCAGTTCACCACTATCTAAAAATAACTACTTGCAAATGTTTTGTTTTACACCAAGGAAAAGCACAGTGAAATGAATTATACAGATAACCAAAATTTCTTCAAGAGATGGTAGAAAATCTGAATAGAATAATTACTAGGAGAGAAAGTTTTAAAGTCATTGTCTAGAAAGGTACTATCGTCATGCAATTTTGTAGGATAATCTGAGAAAATGCTTCCCGGAACAGATAATCCCCAAGAGCATAGAAGATGTGGAAATGTGAGAGCCTAATATATCCTTCAAGGTCCATTATTCCTGCTACCAAAAATTGGGCAATGAAATGACAAAAAATAAAATTATGATCTAATTTCATTTACTGTAGAAATTTAAGAATTATTAACAAATGAGTCTCACGGTCTAGCCACAAAATAAAATGTTATCAAATGAAATTTATCATAGATATGAAAGGCTGAAGTAACATAAGGAAATTTGCTGCAGCAATTCAGTATGAGGGGAAGACTAAAGAAAGAAATGTATGAAACAGATGGAAAAATATTTAATAAAATTTGTCCCCCCATTATTGACTTAAAGTTGTGATTAAATGCATTTAACACCCTGGAATCCTCCATGAAGATGCAAAATTCATTTTTATTGACACATTGCCTATCACGACCCTCACTCCGAGGGAAGAGCCATGAGTGGTATTCTAGAGCTTCAGTATTCCTTCACCCGTAGATTTTTCAATGCCTCATTGAGGAGAGTGTTCTCAGGACCCTCTTGAGAAACATAATTAAAGTGTAAATGAGCAGGTTATGCATAATCCCATTGCAACATTTCTATCTAGCCAATTAGTTTTATTCCTCCTGCTATAAAATATCAAATGTTTCTCATATCTCATATCTCATCATCATTTAATGCAGACCAAAGAACCAATTTTAGTCAATCATTGGAGCTCACTAGTAGAGCCATTCTCTGCTATGCTGAATATTTGTAATCCCAAGTGTTTTGTTTTGCACTTAACTCTCACCAGCCAGTGACTGGGAGGTAAGCTCTCCTGAGAAACCAGAACATCTCCTTACTGGTAAACATATGTAGCTTCTGCAACATAAAGAACAGTATCCTGTGCATGCTAGTGTTCATAATCTTTATATTTACTTCATAAAAATAAAGGTTTGATTTATATCCTAATGCTATAATTAAATATTCCAAAGAGTTTTAAGAAATGAAGATTTTTAATTAATTTTTAAATTTAACTTACTTTTTACCTAAAGGACAAATGAGAAGGCATCTGTCTTTCCCATTTAATGAGAAAACCCTCTCTCTGCCCTTCCAACCTTCCTATTTTCAACCAAGATAAGTTCTTTGTCAGTGTACTGGCTGCTCTGTAAGATCCATACCATATAAAGTGGAATCCTAGACACTGGAAAAGTTAATACCTGGTAGCTTACTCCACACAACTGTGAATTACTGGTTCCTTACTACACACAACTGTGAACCACTTTGCTGACATTGCACAAAATCCACTCTCTGTGACCAGAAATAATGAACCAGACTTCTCTTCCCTTCTTTAGGACCCTCTTGAGGAAGGTAATGCACTTGAGGCTTTGTGGTAGCAATTAATGATCATACTAGTACTCCAGTGGCCTGAAGTCCTTAATGAACATCCCTGAACACCTCAGGTAATGCTAAGAAGAGACACAGACACTACGGGGAACACAGAAGCCCCTAATTACTTAGTTTTTTTAAATCTTCTTAAAAGTTGTTTAGTCCTTCCTCACACAATTTGGTATAGACTTCTTATTCCGGGACCCTTCTTAGTGTTAACGATATCACACATCTAGGCACAAGTTCAGAGGGTGTGGAAAAATAGATATTTTCGAAGTATCACTACACTCAAGGATTGCTTGAGTTCCAAGTGAGATGAGTATTTAATGGAGCCAACTTCTACGTCAATAGCCACCCACTCCGCTCTGGTATATCAAATGCTAATAGAAAATTCAAATAAGTATTTGAATGTGCTTGTGCTGGACAGATAAAAAAAAATCACTGGTATTTAGAGTCATTTTACAAACTGCCTCTATCTTCAGAAAATTGGGCTTGCACACTTTCCTTCCTATAATTCTGTGTTTTGTTTTGGTTTTTTTCTCCTTAGTTTTGAAGGCACGGGGCAAATTCTGATTCATACCATTAATGTCTCTTTGTTCTCTGTTCTATTGCTTTCACAAAATGCTCCAGGCAATCCACTAGAATGACTAATTTACTGGGGAAGTTATCAGAGTCCATTCAGTTGCAACTATAAAATAATTCAAGTAAGACAAGGGTGCCTACTAGCACTCCGTGTGAAGGTTTGCCCTAAAACTATTGATTCACCTCAAGTATTGATTCATGTCTCATCCAGAATTATACCACTAGTGATCAATTTGTCTCTCTTCATATAAATTAAGACATGAAAATAAGAGAACATTTTAAAAAGGTAAACCAAAGTCAAAAACTGTTCACACAACCCAACTGAATATTACATTACAAAATTTGAATATTTTGAATACTATATATATTAGACGTAGGAGCAGATCTGCTTTACTTGCTTTACTTAGTTTCAAGAGGGGCTATTCATTGTACACCTCTAGCAGGTATAAAATATTCAAAAATCCATGCATATATGCTGGGTTTGCCATGTTTAATCTTTTAACAAAGTTGTTACTCATCAAAAGCATAGTAATACACACCAATCAACTTATGCTTAGAATATAATTA